GAAGAGGTGATTAGGTTGTAGGACCATGCAGTAGAGAATGGATTAAAAATGGTGGTCAGGGGCATGGTTCTGATGGCTTTAAGAGAGAGGAGAGTCTGTCTCTCTCTCTCTTCTCCACCATTTTTACACTGCGATAACCTGCCATAACTGTTGCCACCACCAAGACTGTCACCAGATGGGTTCTCTGGACTTTGGACTTTCCAGCCTCAGAAACTGTAAGCAGTAAATTTCATTTTTTTTTTTATAAATCACAGTTTCAAGTATTTTATTATAAGCCACAGAAACAGACTAATACACCCCCAATGAAGGAGAGAGAGCAGAGCTGTCAACTTTTGTTTCACACCTGGAGGGCAAACTCTCAGAGGGGCATCGGAGTGACCCCAGAAGTTCAGACTCTGCAGGAGGCCCAGCAGAGGTCTGGAGCTTGCTGGCCAGGGGCTGGCTGCCAGAGCTGGGGTGCCTTATCTGGCTTAGGCTCCCTCAAGCGCCCTGTAGTTCCCGTCCTTCCTCCTTTCAAGGGACCAAATTACTCAGAAATTGAGAATGAAAGCCATAAAACCAACAAACGTTCTAGTACCCACATAAGGGGATGATAGATCGCAGCACCTTCATTCAGGTGAGTGTTATGGTGGTGCCCAGTTGGAGCCCAGACGTGAGCAGGTTTGTAATAGTGACAGTAATGGTGGCTTGCTAGGCCAGGTGTTGGTCAAACACTTCATATATTTATCTCCTTTGAGGAATGCCTGTCAGCATCTTGTAGGGTAGCTAAAGATGAGGAAAGTGAGGCAAAATGAAGGCTGGATTGCTCTAGGCCACCCAGCCGGGAAGTGGTGGGTCTGGGACTGAGTAATTTGGTGCTGGCTAGAGCCGAAGTCTGTGGCCTCTAGTATCATGCCCTGCACAAAAAAGGGGCCCGTGAACTAGTCAGAGCGAGTGCACCCCAAGTCCATTTGCACCCCTCCAATCTAAACCCCAGGGCCCAGGGCCGAGCCTCGTGTGAAACCCTTATGGATGGAATGGAGGGGGCTGGGGTCCATCTAAACCAGACCCCAGAGAACTAAGATGAGGAGAGCAGAGACTTGGGTCCCTGGTGTTGGAAGAGGGGCGCAGAGTCACTGCTGAGATGGCATCAGAGATGTGCTCCAAGCTTTGAGGTTGGGCCTCAGACTGGGAAGGGGGATGCTGCCGGGGAGCAGGCCCCACAGTGGGGTCAGGGTGTGGCTTCAGCTTTGAACTTAAGGCACAGTGAAAACTAACTACTAATGACTATTGTGTACCTGCTGGGAGCCAGTCACACTCCTGGGCAATGGACAGAGGAAGACACTGTGGTCAGAGTGGTTGCCCATGGTCCCTCTGAGAGCAAGTGGGATGGAAACGAGGTCTGGGAGACCAAGCGGCTGAGCTCTTAGCCACTGTGTTCCCCTTGTGATGATGTCACCTGGGCAGTGGGTGGCACTCTCCTGTAGGATGTAAATTCGGAATGGTAGGATCCAGTCATTTTTTGTCACCTTTAGACCTGGCCACCGTCTGCTTCTGATTCCTGCTCTGCTGTGGTCACCAGGTGAAAGATGACGTAAGTAAAGCTGGGCAGTCTGGTCATCCCACGGGAAGTGGGGAGCCACAGGCCCCCTTCTGCCCTTCTAGAGGTTCTAGGGTAAGTGTGAGAAGTAAATAAATGAGGGGGTTTCCTGTAACATGTGAGGAGAGGGGTATCTTAGCTCAGTGCGTGTGATGGAGGCATCATGGCTCTTTTTCCCTCAGTAATTTGGATCGAGGCACAGAGAAGGGATGTTAGCATGTCCCTCCACCCCTCCACCCGCCATCACCCATTCATCCATCCAATCTTCACTGAGCACCTGCTAAACATAAGGCTGTGTAAGAATAAGATGTTTGACAAAAAAGGAAAATTACCGATGACTGGGGAGGCTGGGTGACAGGTAACAGGTTCATTATGCAGTTTCTCTCTACTTTGTGTATATTTGAGATTTTTCCGCAGTAAGAGCTGAAATAAAGAGGGTGTGAAATGCAGGAATTAGGAGATGCAGCCTTGGGATACACCTGCCTTCTCCCCAGGCTCCCAGAGTGCAGTGATCATGGAGCCTGGGAGGCCCTGGCACAGCAACATGCCAGACACAGAAGCCTGGGGGATTTGCATGAGAGGCTGAATGCCAGGCCTGGGGACCCCTTGGGGGGTGGGGGGCTCCAGGGCATCTCACAAGCCCCTGCCTGGACAGGGCTGTCTCTGAGGCAGAAAGTCCTGGCCACCTTTTGGTCTGTCAGTGGTTCACAAGCAGCAGCCCCAGCCTGGAGAGATGAGCTGCTATCCACGTGCTTCCATCTCATGCTGATGAGGTCTGCTTTTCACTCCAAACAGAATGGGGTTTATGAATGGCTGTGGGAGGGCTAGGAGCTCCCTGGAAATGCAAAAAAACAACTGTGGACCGTGTGTATGTTTTCCCAGGGCAAGGCCCACAGAATTTTAGTGATCTGCAACTCACAAAAGGTTAAGAAACTGCCTTAGCAGTAAGTCAAAAAGTGGGGGAGGTCAAATCTGGCCTAAGAGTAATGTGATCTGATGAGCTGCCCTACTGAAGGGGAAGAGGCCTGGCCCCAATAACGAGACTGATTTGAATACTATCCTAAGACCTGGCTCAGGAGCCCTCATTCCCAGTGACACATAGGTCACTTGCCTTACAGGTGCCTCTGGTGCGCCTAGGCCCTCTATGGCTACTACCTTAGCCCAGCCTCCCAGCAGCCTGAGGGGTGGGTATTGTTATCATTCCCTTTCACACAGGAGACACTGGATGGGACAGAAGTGACATGCTAGATGTGAGCTGACTGGCCTTGAGACTCTGGCCCGAATGAGTCCAGGACTTGTGATCTTCCCATGGCATTTTGGAGGGAGAGGGATAAAATGCAGATTGTTGGTCTCCTTTAAGACCTAGGCCAAAGGCTGAGAAAGACAGTAAGGCAGAAGGTTATAGGTGACCGAGGGTCTGGGGACATCTGTGGTGAAGAATTCTGCCTTTAGAAGGGGGCCTGACATGGTGCCAGCACTGCTGCCCTCTGGCCTGCGAGGAGCTCCAGAGCCCCTGGCCTTCCAGAGTCAGCCCAAGCAATGCTGAGAGGCATGAGACTGCTCCCACCAGGTCCAGGAAAAGCAAACATTTCAGTGACCACCATCAAACCATCTGTCATGAGGAAGCAAGTCACATGCAGAAGATGACAGAGACGGACCCTGGGTTGGGTGTGGAAGATGAAAAGCTGAGAAGGCAAGAAGACCCATCTGCCCCACCAAGGACAGCAAGACACTGCAGACAGACATGTGCACACACACACACACGCATAGACACATATACACGCAGACACAGACATGTACAAAGACACACAAAAAAACACACACAGAAACACAAGGACACACAAAAACACACACAGACTTGGGCACACAGACACACTGTAGACACAGACACACACATACACAGACATACATGTGCACACACACAGACACAGACAGAGAGACACACACTCACACACCCTCGTCCCTCCCACAACCACATGATCGCCTCTTTTGTTATCTCTGTTGTGGCCCCCTTCATTCAACTCCCAAACATCCCAATGGGCTGGCTGGGGAACGACGGCACAGCTGCCCTTTCAGAGCCGACTCCAGCCTTCCAGGCCCTAAAGACCACCACCATTTAATAATCATGTTTAATGCTTTATAGAACAAACTTGTTCTTCACTAGTAAGTTCATCATGAACTTGAATCACTGTAAATTTAGTCTATAATCCAACGTATGCCTCAAGCAGCAACATCTTCTGTGCTCAATGATTTAAGTTACTACACTTTGAGCAAAGTCACACACCTTTTCATACACTTACAAACTTCAGCATTTACCTGGTAAAATGTAGCATAAAAGGAAATCATCCTTTTATCCTTTTGCATTGTGTGAAGAGAAACGGTTAAAGCAACCATCACCGAATTGCACTCTACAAACTCGAAGGAAAATCTGTTTTCATCTGGGCCATTCGCCCTGGTCCTTGTGAGGCTGCAGAACTTCCAGAAGATGGAGGTGCCACAGCACTGGTCCCGGGCAGGGGCCAAGCCGAAGGCAACAGCAGACTCTCCTGGACAGCGTGCAGGGTCCCCACCCCATATGCACCAGGCAGTGCATCCTCCCAGCGTGAGGAAAGCTAGGCCCACCTCAGCGTGACCTGCTGTGGGCAATGCGACGCACTCCAGCGCCAGCTTCCTCAAAGAGCTCCCCTGATGCACAACCCTGACCCACCCGGGAAACCTCCCTTCCGAGCCGGGGTGTGTGCTTCAGGAGCGCTTTATTTTCAGAGCTTGCTGTTCTTCTGAAACTGGGCCACAAGGCTGAGCACCTGCTCGGACGCTTTGATGCTCTTGGAGCCCAGGTAGGCGGTGCTGTTGGCACCCGTCTCCTCCAGGTAGTAGCGGTAGTTGACCATCAGGCCGCATGAGCCCGTGATGCCCTTGAGGCTCCTGTCGGCCATCCAGTTGATGCGCCACATCACGGCCCCGTTCTGCAGGTGGAAGTTGGCCACAGGGTTCAGGGCATAGCCCCGATGCTTCTCTCCATACAGGTACCAGGCGCAGAGCCGCATCAGCGGGGCCTGCAGTGCCCTGACCAGCTTCTCGGACTTCACCCACTCACTGCTGCTGAGAGCGACCTTGAGAGTCTCGGTAACGGGACCACCAGTGACCTCAGAGATCTCCTGACATTCTGAGTCTGTAAACAGCTCATTCCCATGGCGCTCCCTTGTTTGTGAGTTCAGAAGCCCCAAAAGCCATTTGGTGAATCCAGGTATTGGCGACAGACTTGAGAAAGTCCCAAGGTGATGAAACTCTTTCTGTAAAGTATGGATGGGATGGAGAAAAGACACACACAAATTCAGCAGGTATATTATGACATAGGAACGCCTCTCGATCTATAGTTTATGCGTCAGACACCTTTGTATACTGCTGTAGAATTCACGAGTGACATTTGACATGCATTATTTTTCTTCTTTCAAGAAACAATGATCTGGAACCTGATGTGTGCCAGGCCTGCAGGTATCCTGAGTCCCCAACGCAAGGCTTTAAGATGGTGTCTCCATCTGCACCATCGCCACATTGGCAAAACAGAGATCAATGCATCAGGGGACCTGCCTAATCAGAGAGCTGGCCACTGTAAAGTGGGACTTGGTATGCAGTTTCTGACAACAGACCTCATCTTTCCACCACCTCATGCCCCCCGGTGGATGCTTTTGAGGCCACAGAACAGGGTTTGATGCTTGGCACACAGTACCAGGGACTGACTGCCCAGAGGGGGAAATAGAGAGTATTTCTTCATACCATACAACGC